ACTTCTATACAACGAAAGGAGACTGCGACCACACAAAAGGGCACACCATCTTGGTCTTCATATCTTCGATGAGAAGGATAGTTCGCTTATCTTTATTTATTTCAGTAACGTGAGATATTTTAATAAAAAAGTCATCAAATTGTGTTACTCTAAATAAATTGACAACATATTATTTATTACTATTAATAAACCAGTTAAACTGCAAGGACTGAGCAAAAATACATAGGAGAGACGGGAAGTATAATCAGCTCAAAGATCAAAGAGCACCAGCGACTATGTAGAAAAATGGATACGGAAAGATCGGAGATAGCTGAACACATCGCCATTATTGACCACACAATTGACTGGAATGCAACGGAAAGACTAGCCTCATATGGAGAAAACACCAGGAAACGGATGATCAGGGAGGCTGTAGACATCCTTTTTCAAAGAAACCTGATGAACAGGAGATTAGAAGAGGGAAGAATAAGCAATAATTTCGCGTACTGTCTGAGCAGACTTGAAGATTCAGTGAAGACATCAAAAGGAAAACGCCTAGACCCAGGACAACTATTCAACAACAGGAAGAGACATCACCAAGGAGCGGCTAATGAGAAACAAAGGTAAGTCAAGAAAAGGCGACTGTAGTGACAGGAGTCAGACGTGAAATTGGATACAAAATTTACCCAGAGCAGAGGTAGGGTACGAAAATAAAGGCAATAGGTATAGGTGGGCTAGATAGTGGTCACTAGTGTGTGCGCGTAGGTTTTAGGTGTAGCTTTCGTATATGTACCCGGAGAGGAGATTGCTTACAGGCTGTACCACGGGGATACCAGCCAACACACACACATGAACATAATCCCAGTACCCTAGGATTAGATGGGAATGCCAACTAGAGAGACGAGAATGTGCTTTTTGCAATTTAAAGGATAAAAGGAAAGCTATGCATTCTCACACCAGCAATTATGACTTAAGCCAGACACAGGATCAAAAGAATGACACAAAATGTTGGTGGGGATGAGGGAGAGGTTAATCAAGTCATGGGTTTGAAGCCTAGAAGGATGAGGATTCTTAGGCACTGGCATGCGAATGGACATGGGCATTATCTGCTCTAAATCTTGGGATATGGCGTAATCGAGGGTTGGAATTGAATGCTCCTGAGCATCAAGATTTCATAACCAAACAGTGATTTTGATGTGTAGCAGCGACCAATTGACAAGCGAGTAGGAAAAATGTGGCTGCAGAATGTAGGTAATGAGCTCCACAAACGGCACCTGGTACCGGTGCTGAAGATGAGTACGCTTTACTAAACCCACTTTTAACAACACAATCTTAGGTGACATTGGAGGAAACGAGAGCACAGGATTGTGAGAATAAGTGGACAGGCCATATGAGTAGGTTTTAGATAAATGAATGCGACATTATAAGGTAGAACAAAATAGGAGCGAGGAGAGATGCCAAAACGTTTAAAAAGAAAATTGGTCAGGCGGATTGCTTTCACCTGCCATTTTGATAAATCGTAACTATGTGCTTACGATGCCACTTTTCACTGACGATGTCAGTGAAACGTTTGGGAATATACCCAGCCATGGTCTAATACTAGAAATCACGAATAATATAGCAGAGAACACGGGACTAGGTACGTTCCACAAAGTTTCCCTGAAGCTCCGACCAAGTTGCGAAAACAAGGTCGAACCAACACTATAAAGCTAAAGGGGACTACGAACAAACAGAAGGCCACATCATCTTGGTCTTCATATCTAAAACCAGTATTATATTGACATGCTAACTCATGTATGAGATCGCATAGAATAGCAAATTACTCAATACCTAATTGCATACCTGGAGAGAGAACAAATGCAACTTACGAAATACTTAAATCCACGGTTACATGATTGGCGAATCCGTGCCTGAGCAGATCCAAGCCTGATATAATATCGACAACGGATGCAAGGTAGCCAGTATGAAGTTTCTGGAAGCAATCAGACTCCGATTTTCTAACTTGAAACCGGCACCGCAAATATGCTTTCTCTATTGCAACAATATTACAATTAGTAAAAAGCCGATTGAAAGATCCATCGCTGGCCAAAGATATTAATATTTTATTCAAATTAGATGGTAACATTGCCTAACAAAACAACGAATAATTCCAATTATGAGAAAATATAAGAAGATAGATGAAAAATAAAACTATACTGGCTCATGATGCCACTTTAAGTTACGATGTAACACTTAATCGTTAATTTATAAAAAAAGTTTAAGATGCTGCTCAGAAATTTCGTTGATATGAAAATAAGGATGCAAATTTTTCGTAACGATCACTTGAAAGGCCACTTTTAGAAAATAAAGAACGAAGGAAAACGTTAGGAACCATAAGGAAATGCAATAAAAGAGAAAAATGAAAAAAATTGTTTGACTCTCCTAATAGTTGCCTTGTCAAGAAGTAGGAACTTACAAATGCAAGGAAGAGTATTGCTAAATAGCGTAACAAAAATGCCCAAAGGATATATATAGTCAAGAATAATATCAATAACAATAATAAAAAGAGTAACTGGGTCTTGATTAATCGCCTGAGGTAACAGTGTTGGAAAGATTTTCATTTCATATAAAAGGTAAGGTTAAAATATCACCACAGATCTTGTAACAAACAAATTATATATGAATTCAAAGCTTATGGCTATTCACTGGGGCTTTTCAGTGGCGCTATTAAGGCTTGATTACAATATTACATTTTTACTAAAATCTCATGGAGAATTGAGCTTTGTATTCAAAAAAAACCATGCCAAGGATTGCAATGATGACAAGAAGATGTTAGGAAAGTAAAATACGTGGATGATGGCCTAATATTATGCTGTCCTTACGACCTAAATTTATAAAATAAAGAGTAAGAGAATAACTTAATTCTAGTTCATAAGGTTTTTTATTTAACTAATAAATATATGAGGTGAATTCGCCCCATTTCGTTAAAATGATGAATGATTAGTAGTTTAATTTTCCCACAATAATATGAGTAGATCATACGACTCTAGTGAATTTTAAATGACCTTGCTTCACAAAAGCAAGGATGCACTACAATTTGAACCTCGCCTAGGTCTCATCAACCTCCCCCAGCAGAGATTGAATCTTGATAATGCAGCTTATAATATCGACACTTCAACCACTACACCACATTTTCACAAGTGCGCTTGGGTCAAAGGGCAGATATGCATTTTAGGGAAGCCCAGGCAGTTTCCCATGCCACATTCAACTACCAGTCCTTCATCATCGTAATGCAATTGGGTAAGTACATTTTACGTAATGATAGTCTCGAAAACCTACAAATAAGGGAAAAATAAGTAATGCAGTCAATTGCTATAGCAAATAAAGCTTTCTTTTATCGACAATCCCACCGAAGAGTGGTATACTAGAAAATGCCTGCTGAACTTTCTTGAACTTAAAATATGCCCTGCGACCAAAGATTACATCTATAAATGTAGCTTAGTGGCTAACGCGTCGAGAGTATACGCTGCATAATCACGATTCAAGTTTATCTGGGGGCACAGATGAGACCTAGGTGAGGTTGAAACTATAGTCGATCTAGGATGAGAATATCCTCTGGGAAGGAAGGCTAAGTTAAGTTAAATGGAAACGTAAGGCTTACTCTTACCACTGGATGAAAATGAAACTATTAAGCTTTCATCTCATTTTTGAAATAGGGCAAATACACCTAATAGACAAGAACTTGCTTTTTTTATTTTTCAATAAGTAATTTACAACTGAACATGATCAATTGTTGTTCTATGCCCTCCGCGGATGCGTGAATTAATAACTTATTAACCACAGAATAATGACTAAGTTAATAGTAACTATTTTTATATAAATATTAATAGGACAGGTGGAAATAAAAAAAATCTAAAATAAGCATAAAATTTTAAATAGAAGCAAAAAGTCTAAATCATATAGAAAAATTGAGATTTTATTATGACAAGGATAAATTTGTTTATAACCTAAACAATAGATTTAGAGGAGAATATGACATTGAATGTCTTTTTTTAATTGAATAATATACCAGACATTCGAGACGAATGCAACATGAAAGACATAATAAATGAATGGGGAAAAATAAGAATCTACGAGGTCTCGTGGCAAGTTTAAAAATAATATGAGCAATAAAATTCGCTAATTAATAGTATGTAAAGTATGGCATATTTTATATTTAACTATTTTAGCTACAACTGATAAAGTTTAATAAAAGAACATCTATAAGGATATGGACGATACTAGAAATATAATTACAATAAGACGTGCTATTTTATGGCTCTCATTCTTTCTTCATCGGCTTATTTTAAGACCAAAATAATAGTAAAAAAATATATGCCAAAAAATAGCCAAGAGAAAAC